TGGAAAAAGTAATAAAAACATCCATCATTTGCTAAGTAAAGAGATTTTCAGTGGATTTTAAAGCAAATGTTGTTGTGTAATGATAAAGTATATATCCAAATTTTACGCTTGGTAAACATTAATGCATTTTCAGAAAAAAAAGCAATGAGAAAATGTTCAGTGCTAAATTTGTACTGCAAATGGCTGCTTCAGTTCAGCCATTTAATGTACTTGCAATGTCATATTTATACACCCAATTACATCTCCAGAGATATTCTCCACACTAAAAATCAGGTCTCAGAGGAACTTAATGAGTTTTATGAGGCACAACAGGGAGAACAGGAGAAGGACCAAAATGTATGTGAAGTCTTGTGCAAGCTAGACCCAGGGTTTTCAAAGTGCTCTCGCTGTCTGACCAGTGAATTTATAGCTCTCTGTAGATCTTGCACCTTTGTCACACCAGAAGCCTGGTCTGCTCATTCGATTTTGAACATAAAGTTGGAGAGGGGGCTTCATCACCACAGAGGGGGTTATATGAGATTGTAAGGTCATGTAAGAAGACTGAGACCTTGGGACCTAATATCATAAGGCTAACCCCAACGGGCCAACATCAGTACACCAACCTCCTAATTAAAGGCATTTGGACAACGGTGAGAGCAGCTTCACTAGTCTCCAAAGGTATGGTGAGATGATTAAAAGCAATTAAAGGCAACTTTTTAACAAGTGCAACATGTATAGGGCAATGTCTAAGGCAAACTTCACTGGTGCATACAGGTATAAAACACACTGAATGAGTCAAATATTGAGCTCAGATGATGAGCAGATGTCGGTTTTTAATCAGGCAGTCTGTTAGATGCCCTTGAGTTGCCATGTGAACGAGGAAGAGCAAATAGCTGAACTGGTCGGTTTACTTCCTGCGGAAGCAGGATGTCAAATGGAAGAGCGATGAACCAAGAAGTGGCCCGAGTGACGTGATTTTTCAGCCCGCCAGGACCAGCTCGTGACACAAAGCCACGGACATTACAAGCACCAGATGGCACATGTAAGGGTGCCAGAGGGCCATGGATACCCTGGCAGATTCAAGGGGGGCAGCACTTCATAGGGGCCCCTCCTTGCCAAAATTTAATGAGGGAGGGATCCGTATTTCTTTAGATTTAAGGCTGAAAGTGCCAACCCGCTTAAGCGGGGGCCCAAGGTGACATTTTGTCAGGGAAGCCCGGATTTGGAGCAATGGCTCTGTGCACATATACGCATGCAGACTAACGGAAGGGGTCCCCCACCCGACATGAAGTCAGTCACCAAGCTGGGGTTTGAATACACCCGTAACATACACCTTTTTGATATAATAAGTGTGTTTTAATATTCCAGAGGCAGAATTAGTAAATTCAGGACCAGTTTTATTTCCCGGATATTTCTGGCAACCTGGGTGTAAAATTTTGCATTGTTCTCAATAAAACAGACGAAAAAAAATGTGCTGGAAAGGTCACCTTGTGCTTATGCTTCTCTAGATATAATGTGGGCATCCCTCCCTCAGTAGATATA